GTCCTGATAGCCTGTCCACAAGGAATAGTTGAGGAAATGGGGGGCTTTTAACCAGGAGCAGGAGCACTGTGATAGCTTCCTGTGGAAAGAGAAGCAAATGCTCCTAGTGTTCAGTATTATTTAGTCTGTAAAGCCGTTTGACTGCAAGGTCAGCAGTTCAAGCTCACCAGTTGGTCCTCAGAAACCCTATACAGGGTAACTATGGGTCGGAACTGACTCGACGGCACTTCACAACAACAACAGCAGCTGGTTAATGATAGCCTTTAATACTTTCAAATCAAACCCTATTTTAAGTTTTGATCAGAACTTTACATACACTGTTTCATTGAATTCTTATAGCCCTGCTATGGGCTTACATGCTGTTACATTCAGTTTAGAATTGAGCAGGGTTTAGTAATTTGGTGCAGTCACAGAGCTGGTGAATGGAAGAGCTGAGCCAGGCGTGAGCCAGAGTCCAGCCTCTTAGCCACTCTGCTGCTCTATGAATGTGTTAAAGAAGGGCAGATCCGCCACCTTCCAGGGGTACTACAGATTTTTGCTGTTAGGGAGCTGTACTTTGCTGCTCTGGGAAGCCAACCCTGACGTTCTGTGGCCTAGATCTTTCCCTCACCTGGGGTATGCATCCTTCATGGTGGCCAAGCCTCCAAGCCTTCCTCATCCTGCTGCTGACCACCCTGCTTTGACTATGCTCTCCTGTGCCAGTTGCCTCCCCAACTGGAGTACAGCCAACCTTTACAGGGTCATGGCCTGGTCTTCCGTCTCTCCTTTCTCCCAGCACCTGATCTGTGTCCCATGGTGGAGATTTCTTTTGGCCACTCACACAGCTGCCCCAAAGTGGTATCTGATGCATGTTTCCTTCCCAAACTACAGGATAGAATATATAACGGTGACTCCAGAAGGATTCCGGTACCGGGGCCAAGTCTTCCCAACTGTGAATGGACTTTTCAGATGGTTTAAGGATCATTACCAGGATCCTGTACCAGGCGAGTTCACCTCTCCTCTGACTTCTGGATGTGGTTGGAGGGACACCTGGAGCCTTGCTCAAGTTAATCACTGACCTTTTAGGGGAGGGGCAGAGGCCTGGACAGTCATCACAGTTGCCTTACTCCAAATTTCTAGCATCAGGGAAGTTCTCCATCCAGTTTGTCTATACAGTTTCCCTTTCTCCTGCCAGCAGCCCTCAAATAGTAAAACCAGAAGTAGGTCTCTGGAAGGAGGTATAACTAACTCTAACCATTTCCTACAGGCATCACCCCCAGTAGCAGCAGCAGCAGGACTCGAACACCTGCCTCTATCAATGCTACTCCAGCCAACATCAACCTTGCAGGTGAGGAGCTCATGCTTGGCAGTGAGGGACTGAGGGTCCCTCACTGTGGAGCTAGAGGACTTTTCTCCTCTAACACTCTCATCCCCTACCTCTGTGTGCTTACAGATCTTACACGAGCTGTGAATGCCCTGCCCCAGAACATGACTTCACAGATGTTCAGTGCCATTGCTGCCGTGACAGGCCAAGGACAGAACCCGAATGCCACCCCAGCCCAATGGGCCTCCAGCCAGTATGGCTATGGCGGCAGTGGAGGGGGCAGCAGCGCTTACCATGTATGTGACTCGGGGAGGCGGCTTCTTGCAGGGGTTGGGGAGGCGAAGTCAGAAAGAATGGTCATCCTTCATCAACTTTGACCCCTGGCCGTACCCTCCACAAGAGGCTTCTTATAGAGGGAGGCTTTAAAACAGTTTGTGGCAGAATGGGCTTTTTAAATATTGGAGCATTCTGAAGCCCCCATGTATACAGGTGGGCTGCCACAGCCTTAGGACGGTCTCCAACAGATGCTCCTTTTTCCCTGACACCCATTGGAAGGGAAAGGCTTAACCTTTCCACAGATTTCTCTGAGAACTTGAGGACCTTCAGAGCCCTAGAAACCTAACATAGTCAGAACTTGTGGGCCTCATAGTTGGGCCAGTCTCCTCATAATGGCCAAATCTGCTACCCTGCCTCTACTTTTCAGAACCACATGCTGTCCATGAGGTCACCTGGGAGGTTTTGTGCTGATCCCCACTTCTCAGCTTGCTGGAAATTCCCAACAAGACCTAAGTCCACCACCACTTAATTCTTTACCCATTTCAGGTGTTCCCAACGCCAGCCCAGCAGCCCGTGGCCACACCACTAATGACTCCCAGCTACTCTTACACGACCCCAAGCCAGCCCATCACCACACCGCAGTACCACCAGCTGCAAGCCAGCACCACTCCCCAGTCTGCCCAGGCCCAGCCCCAGCCCTCCTCCAGCTCCCGGCAACGGCAGCAGCAGCCAAAGTGAGTATCAGCTGGTTATTATTAATAGGGATTTGTTGTTGTTGTTAAGTGCCATCGAGTCGGGTCCGACCCATAGCAACCCTGTACAGGGTTTCCGAGGGTGTAAATCTTTATGGGAGTAGAAAGCCTCATCTTTCTCCCGCGGAGCGGCTGGTAGTTTCGAACCGCTGACCTTAAGGTTCGCAGCCCGATTCGTAACCACTACGCTACCAGAGCTCCTTATTAATAGGGATAGTATTGTCAAAAGGCCAAGGTGCTGAGAATAGGCAGGTGCTCTGGATCCTCTGAGAGCCTATGACCCAGGTGTTACCCCAGGGAACGAGTTTCTGGGAAGGACAGGAGGTCATGTGGCAGTGAGCCACTGCTACTACCCAGCTACCCAGAGGTGTAAGGCCCCCTGTCTGTAAGGGTGAGAACTCCCTAGTGATGGGGAGGTAGGAAGACTTCCTTCTAACAAGCCCCCAGAGAGTTCTGATCTCAAAGGTCCTTTCTGCTCCTCCCTGCCTCAGGTCCAACAGCCATGCAGCCATCGACTGGGGGAAGATGGCAGAACAGTGGCTGCAGGAGAAGGAGGCGGAGCGACGGAAACAGAAGCAGAGACTGACACCTCGGCCCTCCCCCAGCCCCATGATCGAAAGCACCCCCATGTCCATTGCTGGCGATGCTACCCCACTCCTGGACGAGATGGATCGGTAGGGGAACTGCTCCCAGGACTCTGGTTATCTTTGAGGCTGGGAAGGCCTGGCTGCCCACTGCCTCACTCCCTGCCTTCTTTTCTGTCCATAAAGTGGCGTGAAGTGACGTTCTCTTTAGTGGTCAGTTGGATGGGTGACAGGCTGGATGGCCTTGCGAACTTGAGCTCAGTGTGTGCTAGGCAACAGTTCTCACAGTTCAGGCCCTCACTGACCACCTGTCCTGGGGCCTGACTTGGAGGGGAGTGTGATGGAAAGGAGGAGGAAGATGACAATGAGAGTGGAGCCATTTTGTATTCTACTCCCTACAAGCCATTTTGAGCTTCTGTCCCCACCTGACTGTGGACTGTGATGGGGGCACCAAGCTCAGCACATGAGTCTCCCCTAGCTCTTGTGGGGAAAGGGATGCTATTTATTCAGTTTTGGGCAGGAAGGGAAGTATTTCTGACCCTGCCAGCAGCTCAGGTGGCTACCACAGCAGGGAGCAGGGGACAGAGCGGAGCAGAGCTAGCCTGCCCGGTGCCTGCCTGGCCAGGCCACCCTTTCCACCTGCTGCCACCACCGCTGCTTCCTGCCTGTCATTCGAATAAACAGTGTTTCTACAGAGCACTTGTTGCAGCCTCTCTCTCCAATTCTCTGGCTCTTTGAGGATGGCTTTCGAAACAGTGTTCGGAGCTCTGAGGACTTCCCAACTCCCACTTCCAATCCAGGAGAGAAGCAACAGTCCGTGGTAGTTAAGAGCAGGGAGGTGGCCCCCAGTCTGATCCAAAAGCTGCCTGCCTGGGGTCACATCCCTGCTCAACTTCCTAGTTCTGGGACTTTCCGCCAGCTTCTTCTCAATTTCTCAGTCTGCTGTCTTTTCTGGAGAGTGGTGATGAGAATACCTAGCTGTGGAGACTGAGGCTATGCCTGGAATAGGAAAAGCCCTCAGTGAATGTGAACTGCCATAGTTGCCCTCCCTCCCTCACAGCTACTCTCCCTGTACCTGTAGCCCTCTCTGGCATAGTGGGATAAGCCAATGGAACAGGCTGGGTTGCTTCACGCCAATGGGACTTCCTCTCTGACAATGCCCCCAAGCTAGTCAGGTGTTTCAGACTGGGCAACCTGACACCCACACACACACACACCACCCCCCACCCCCACCACCCCCACACACACACTTGCAAAGGGAGGCAGGCTTTTGGGATCAGTCAATCTCCTGGCCCAGGTCCCTTACCCCACTCTCACTTGCTCATTTGCCGTGGGCTCTGGTCTCCCCTGTGATTCCTCACAGAGCATCAGCCCACAGTGTAGTGAGTCAGTCTGGGAAAGTAAGGCTCCCCCCTCTGAACTGCTGGGCTCTGTAGAGATGTCAGAAGGACCCACTGCTATCCAGACTTGACCATCTTCACTCAACATTCTCCTGCTTTTCCTTTTCTTCATTCAAGATCTTTTTTTTTTGCAAAGGTTCTGGAAACTTCCTTAAGCACCAAAGTCTGCTTAGGGCCTAGCCTAGAGCATGACCACCTCAATGAGCAGATAGAAGCCTTGCAGTGGCCCTGGCCTCACCTTCCCCGTGCCATTTAGAGAAGGAAAGGCCAGGCCCAGAAGCACAGTGTAGGTTAAAAGGTTGATTTTATTGTGGGTTTATCACTGCAGACACTACTATCCCAACAACAGAATCCACACAGGTCAGCAACCCAGTACAGGAAGAACCCTCCAACCTATCCCAACCCACATGGACTCTTCTGTACTAGTCCTAAGATAAAAGAAAAACAAGTCTATGTCCCTCCTCTTCTCCCCAGTATGACCATAAAGGTCGGCCTCCCTCCCACCTTTTCCCTTGGACTTACTCATTGAACGCTGACTTGTCCTTCAGAAACCTTGACTCCAACTCTACCCAGAGCACCCATACACAGAGAAAGCCCAGTTGGAGAGTTGGAGGGAGAGAGAACAGCAGCAGAGGGTCAGCTTACAGGCTTGATTGAATTTATTCTTCACCCTGGTCACCTGGCCTCAACTGAGATTGGGGTTTGATATTGGGGGAGATTTCTGCTTATTTACCTTCCTGACTTGTGAGACCTTCCCCCAGACTTCTTGTTTGGGCTTGTGTTCTTGTCTCTCTTCTTGGGTGAGGAAACCTCCGCAATATCCTCACTGGAGGGTTCCTCCGGTCTGGTGTCGTAGCTGTCCTCACTCTCCAGGTCTTCCCGGCTGTCTAGGCTGGACTCTGACATCCTCGCCAACTCTCTTGGACTTAATGATCGGCCCAAATCTGGAGGTGAGGGTTCCGATTTGACTGGGCTCTTCTTAGTCACCTTGCTCCTCTTGATTTTTTTCTTCAGTTTTCCTTTCTCCTTGTCTGACAACTCCTCAGCTTTGTCTTTCTCCTTCTTCTTCTTTACCTTCTTGACCACCTTGCTGCCCTGGTTTTTACCTGTGGGGCTCTCAGAGCGCCAGATGGTAATGGGAACTGCTGAGTCTGGGGTCCCAGTGGCCGTAACTGTGCCAGTGCTCATGTCAGGTGACTTGGTGATAGGCCCCACCTGGGTCGGGATGGGAGGCTTGCTTTCTTCTTCATCCACTTCTCCATTGAAGTCATCTTCCACAAACTCCTCATGGGGGATGGGATGATGGATCACTGCCACTGAGACAGGCCTGTAGCTTTTACACCTGTAGGGGAAGGATGACCAGGAGAGAGGGCTGACAGGAAGTAGGAGGCAATGCTCACTAGAGCCCCCTTCTCCCCTGTCAGCCTACCAGCACTCACCAGCCATACCAGAACCTTTCCACACATTCTTCCTCTGGGATGAGCTCAAAACAAGGGGTCTGGATGATCTTGACACAGGTTGGGCCCATGTCTCGGGAGCAGGTATGGCCCACGTCTTGGGAGCTGCTGCTATCTGCCTTCTCTGAGCATTCCTTCACCCTGCCACACAAGACTCTCAGCCTGGCTCCCACACCTCCAGAGCTCCCCAAGGGTCCAGAGCCAACAACCTAAAGGACAGTGGGCTCCCCTGGGTTCTGCACCAACTGCCACAATACTTCCTCCAATTGCTCTTGCAGCACTAGGTGAATGATAGGGGCCTTTATGCCCAGGCATTTCTATGGTGCTGTGGGTCCCCAAAGAAGCAGCCCTCACCTAGAATCACAGTCACAGTGGCTGACAGCATGCAGGTGTAGCTGGTGGTGGCCGTAGTCTGAGATGAAGGGGTGGAGGATGTGCCTAGCACACTGCGTGTGTTTCCAGCAGTACCTGTTAGTCTCCTCCTGGAAGTCACCTGAGGGGTAGGGCCTGGGTCATTCAGGGGCAGCTGCAGCAGCATACCTGGGGTCTTCCCATAACTCAATCTAGAGACCATAAATGGACTTCTTGTTAAGTGCCATCAAGTTGGTTCTGACTCAGCAGATTTCCAAGGAGTCGCTGGTGGATTTGAACCACCAACCTTGCAGTTCAAATCAAACTTGCAGTCCAGTTCTCGTCCTACAATGCCATTCCAGGACTCCATCAGTGGTCTTGAGCCTCACCAAATTCACCGGCTACCACCACTATCCCCCTTGAACTATTATATCTAGGAGTCTTAATAGTAACTCCAGGAGTCCTGGTGTGGCGCTGTAGGATAAGCACTCGAACAAAAGGTCAGTTTGATTCGCAAAGTTGCTAGTTCAAACTCAACCAGTCACTCCTGGGAAACCCTATATAGGGCCACTATGAGTCAGAACCGACTCAACAGCACTTAATAACAATAGTAACTCTGGGTCCCTGCAGATTCCCTAAAGAAGGCCTGGCACCAAGTCTGTCATCTGTGACCCCTTCCCCTTTTCTCTACCTCTTCTCAGAAACTGCCCTACTCAGTCATCAGCTACTGCACTAAACAAAGTGCTTGGCTAGGGCAAGACCCTCTTGCCATAGCATATGGTAGAGCCTCAGGAGCCCCACTTTGTAATCCCTGTGATTGGCATCAGCAGTAGCTAGCCCTCTCATTTCTATGCCTACATTGTACATATCAAGAAAGTCACAAGGCCTGCTATGGTGGCCTCAGAACAACTAAGGCTACCCGCACCATCCTGCTCCCTGCCTGTGGCACCTCCTCCTCCACCCTTCACATCAGTTCTACTCTGGCCCTTTCTCTTCCAAGTTCTTTCTCCTGTCACCTTTCTCAGTTCCCTCCCCTTACCCGTGCCCACCTTCTTCTTTACCTCTAGTTCTATCGCCATCCATTTTCTCTCCCTAGTTGTTAGGGCAGGGGTGGGGAAACGCCTGAGGGCCATATAAGGCCTGAAAACCATTTGGTGGCAGTTCCAGCCATCACATTGTTGCTAAGTGCTATCTAGTTGGTTCCGACTCATAGTGACCCTGTATAGGGTTTCTGAAGAGCAGCCAGTAAGCTTAAACTGCAGACCTTGTGGTTCAAACCAACCTTGCAGTTCAGGTCATTAAAACCCACAGCATGTTTGACCAGATATGGCAGGCTAATCTTTAAGTTAAATTTTTTTTTGGCCTGCAAAAGATGTTATAAATATCCAGATGGCCCTTGGCAGGAAAAAAGTTCCTCACCCCTGCCCTAGAGACACAAACTTTTGAACAACCCACCCCCTAGCCTGAGCCCTTCCACCTTTCTTTAGGTATCACCCTTCTCCCAATCCCCAAAGATACCATGTCTGCTTTCCCAGGGCACCGGGAAAAGGCTGCCAATGACAGGTCAGGGTTAAGGAAGTCCTGGAGAAAGGGTCTTGCCTGTTTTGCTCAGATGATTGAACCCACTTTGGCCTTTCTGGTCCTTCACTCCCACTGCCTCACCTCTGACCCTGCCTAAGATTCCAGTCTACTCTTGGCTCTACACTCTCAGGCTACCACCCCAAAGACGAGAACTTCATATGTCCCTCACAGCCAAGAACCCAAGGTCTCAACACAACCAGGCAGAGGGCAAGAAGGTGTCCAGTACATCTCTGTGGGCAGTCTTATTGCCAGTTCCCCTGACACCAGCTCCACCCCACCCCCAGAGGAGGAAGAGGGGCACTGAGGAGTTGCCATGACAGGACAGCCTGACATGTGGTGCTGTGGCAGTGAACTATCTCCAGGACTGTGTCTTTATCTAGCCCCCAGAGGGGTGGAACTGGGTGAGACCTCTTGTTGGCCCCCAGGCTGTGGTGTGTCAGGAGCCCTGCTGGTTAAGAGCACAGCAGTTAGCTGAAAGGCCAGCAATTCAAATCCCCCAGCTGCTCTGCAGGGAAAAGGTAATGACAATTTGCTTCTCTAAAGATGGTTGTTAAGTGCTGATGAGTCACTTCATAGCAACTCTATATAGGGTTTTCAAGGAGCAGCTGGTGAGCTTGAACTTCTAACCTTGCGATTCAGACCAACCTTGCAGTCCAGTGCGTTAACTCACAGCACCACACTAGGACCTTGGAAACCCTATAAGGCAGTTCTGTCCTGTCTTATAGAGTCACTATGAGTTTGTTTGGTTTTAGGGTGTGGGTGTGTTAGTCCAAGTGGCTTTAAAAGTACTTGAAGGATGAGGACACTGCCACTTTGGTCTAAACCTTGCCCCACATCCCTCCACCTCCCCCAGCCAGGCTGTGAGGGTCCTGGGTCCCTGCCACTCCCTGACCACCTTGGTGACTTTCTCTGCTTCATTTCCTTCGGTATCTTTTCTCTATTCCATGGCAAATAAAGGGGTGGGAGGCTGGGCCTGGCTGGGACATCACCACTTCGGTTTGTTCACAGCTGCTGAATTGAAGCAAAGGGCAGCAGAGTGTCAAGTGCCCTGAACTCATCAGACAAATCTGAGTTCTAGTCCTTGCTCTGTCACCTACTAGCAGGGTGATCGAGGGCAAGTTAGCTAACTTCTCTGAGTCTTTCATTTCCTGATATACAAAGTGGAGATGGAGGCAATACCCATTTTTCAGGGTTACTGGGAAGATTCCATCCACATAGGTGAAAGCTACTCATTTGTGCTATACACAGGCAGAGAGTGACTGTGGCCTCAAAAAAGGGGTCTGGCATCAAGAAGTAGGGTGTGGAGGGACTGGGTAACCCTCTCAAATCCAAACACTTCCTCCCTCTGCCTATCACCAAGTCTCAGCTTTCCCAAGTGAGGGGTGAATGGGACCCCAAAGACAGTAATCCTCCAGACCCACCTTCAGAGGAGAAGGTAGATGTGTCAGTGCTGGATGCCACGCTAGCCAGCAGATGTCCTCTCTCCCAGCTGGGCAACCTGTTTATATCTGAGAGAGTACAGAGTGATGATGGCATTCCCCCTCCCCGTCCCCGCCACCTTGTCATTCATTCCCCCAACATTTGAGATGCTCCAGGTGTCAGGCCCCAGCTTCATCCTGAAGAGGTATATATTTTTAAAAGTCCCTTAAGAGGTGGGGTGGGGAGGACACAAGGGAAGTAGAGGAACAGATAATGACAACAGTGTGATAGAGACATCAGGGGTGGGGGGTGGAGAGGAAGGTCTGTGGAATCAGAACAAAGGTGCTTATTGAAACTAGGAAAAGGGAAGAGGATTTTAGAACACTTCTTAAAAGAAGCATCATTGGAGCTGATTCTGGAGTGGTGGCAAGGAGGGACAGTTCCAATGATGCCCAAAGGTGTGTTGGAGGTGGTCAGAGGGTGTCTCCAATGAGTAGACCATTCCCCAGCCATCAGTAACACTGGACTGATTCTGCCATTTCTCCTTTTCCTCCTACAGTTTAGACTTGTCCTTTGGAGCATCAGAGTGGATCCCTGCTTAAGAAAGGGAAGCTAACTGGGGGTTTCAGCCAGGCACAGGTCTTTAGTTATCCCTTTTTGTTTCCCATAGCACAGAAGTGTTCAATATTATGAGTCAGTGATAGATATTTCAAGCATTTCCCTCAAGACTCCTACTTCCCAGTATTAGTCCTCTCAGCAAACATTTTCACCTGCACAATCTGTGGCTGCTTTCACCCTCACTAACACTTCTCTACCTTGGGGACAAGGTATCCCTTCCTCCTGCTCAAAACAAGTTCCAGGTCCCAGCCAGAATTTTCACCTTCTCCCTCTTTACTATTGTTCTGTTGTTTTTTCCCCCAACAAGCTGACTTTCTATAAACAGGCAAAACACTATCAGCCCTGTTTCTCCCTCTACCACTGCCTATTCCTTTTCAACCCAAGTTTATTCATTCAACAAATACGCACCAGAAGAGGCTCAGTCACTACCTTTACTGACCCCTCAGAACCTTTACCTCCTTACCTCATCTACTTTAGTCACGGGCAGCCATTTAAAGACCACCTGTGATTTCCCGATATTCCAACGCAGTCATCTCCTTTTTGTCTCACCTCACTTGACCTTATTGACCAACTGATCTCTTCACATTGTTCCTTTGGCTTCCCAAACAAACTTCTCTCATCTTTCTCTTCCTTCTCTTCCTAGTTCTTTCCTGACTCCTTTGCTGTCTACTCTACCTCTGCTGTACTTCCATACATATTAGTGATTATCAACATCTGTCTTTGATCACCTTCTCAAAAAACTGCAAGCTTGTTCTGGCTAATTTTGTCCTCTCCCATGGTTTTAATACTCATCAACAAAATGACATATCCAGTATCCTCTTGGATGTCCCCAAAAGATCTTAAATCAGTATTTTCTATACAAACCATCTTTTCCCTACCTTCCTATCTTCTCTTATATCCTCCATTTCAGAGAACAATAGACACTTAAGCTAGAAACTTCACGATCATCCAACTTGGTAATCAATTATTGCCATATCCTGGTGTTGGCCCTGTGGGTTAATGTGCTAGACTGCAAAATCGGTTTGAACCACAAAGCCAGTGGTTCAAGCTCACCAGCTGCTCCTTGGAAACCCTACACAGGGTCTCACTATGGGTCAGAACTGACTTGATGGTACTTAACAATAAATAACAATACTTCCCTCAAGGAGCACAGTGGTACGATTACCACTGGACTTCAAATCACAAGTTCAAACCACAAGTTCAAGCCCACCAGGTGCTCTACAGAAAGATGAGGCTTTTTGTTCCCACAAAGATTTACAGCTACAGAAACCCTCTATAGGGTTGCCATGAGTCAACACTTAAAAACAACAACATACCTCTCGCATTACTTCTGTCTTGATTCAGACTTTCATACGCTCTAAGTTAGAAAGCCAAAGTAGCCTCGTGCCTGGCCTCTCTGCCTCCTGTCTGATGACCTGTTGCCATCAATATGATTCTGGCTCTTAACGACTATTGGTCAAAGTAGAACTGTCCCATACGGCTTCCAAGGCTGTAATCTGTACAGAAGCAGATGGCCACATCTCTCTCCCATGGAGCTTGCTGGGGGGTTGGAACTGCCAACTTTTCAGTAATTAGCCAAGCACCCAACCACTGTGCCACCAGGGTGCCTTCTCATTCTTCTCAGCCATTCCTTTGCGTTTTCTGAAATGCCTATTGGACCATATTCCTACTGATAGCATCCCACTGCCTTCAAGATCAAGTGCAAATTTGTAATCTTAATAGTACAGGCCCTCTGAGACCCAGGCCCTGGTTCCTTCCTCGGCTGTCAGTTTCTCTCACCCATCTATCCTTTCTCCTAACCATCACTCCTCCAGTCTTCTATCCTGCCTCCCACTACTCAAAAACACCAATTCACCGTGAAAAGAACAACTCTATCCAAGTAGAATTGACCATGCACCCTTGTATCATGTACCTAGAACCTGTGACATTCACAACATTACTCTGTAGCTCTCCCTGAGAGCTGTTATATTTATGTGTCTGGGATGTGGACGGAGCTGGGAATATTGGTTGAATTCAATGAATGAATAGATAGACTCCCTATTAGAGCCACAAAGAACTGTGGCATTAGAAACTCTGCTTAAGGCTCAAGCCTGGGAGCTCTTCTTTAGGAAAAGAGAATTGGTAAGAATGAACACCTTCTCAATGCCACTGATTTTAATTCTTAATTCCCACCATAGCCCATTCTATGATGGGGACACAGACTCAGAAAGGATAAGTAACTTGTCAAAGTACATAAAGTGGCAGAGTTCCCATTCAAACCCAATCTTCCAGGCTCCATAGCCTGTGATCTTTCACTCTACTTAGAGCTGGCTGAGTAGGCACACATGTAAACAAAGGGTTCCTTTATGAGTATGAGCTCCACAGCCAGGTCTTAAACCAACATCCTTCTCAGCTGTCACCTTCCCACTACACCTACTTTTCAACTCCAGGACACCAACTTTTCATTCACTGAAATCTGGGTCCACGGCCCCCTTTATCTGACTTGGACCCTATAAGGGCAGGCCAGTGGGCCCTGAGCCAGGGTCACCATTCAAACTCTGCCATGTGTCAGTTCACTTCAGGGTCATAGCCAATTCATTTTTCACAGAAGCTCTGACAACCACCAGCTTCGTTTGCAAAGGGGAGGAAGGGAAGACAGCCAATGCGGGATCTGAGGAATGCAATCTGCTCTCAGGTTCCAGAAGGCGGAAAGAGAGCTCCGGGCTGAAACAGCAGTCAGTGCTTTTGGAGCAGGAGCGACTGAGGGCGAACACAGGAGGGACTTCATAATGAATGAGGGTGATCTTATGAAAGGGAGATGGAGGTATTGGGGTCCCTTTTTCGGTAATGGACGCTAGAGCCTGATTTAGAACTCACAGGTGATGCTCATTTGTACAAAACTCTCCGTGCCCCGTGAGCGGAGGAACTACTGCAGCCCTTGTGCTACAGGGACTGGGGTTCTAGGTTGATATCAAAGCAGCCGAATTGGGAAGGGAAGGGGAAAAGGAAGGGAAGGAGCAAGGGAGGGAAAGAGGAAGGAAGGAGAGGAGAGAAGAGGAAGGAAGGAAAGAACAGTGTGCACGCGTCTCCTAGGAAATGCCCCTCCGGCTCCGCCCCCACCTGAAAGCAATTGTGATGTCACGCAAGGAACCTCCAGACTCCGCCCTCCGGAGCAATGGAAACGACCGCTGCAACCCAGGCGAGTGTTTGGGTGTTGGGCCATAGGCTCCAGCCTGGTCTTGCGTTTAATGGGTGGCGGCCGACTAACACCCAGCAGGGCCTTCAAGTTCTACAGCAGAAGCTGCAACTTTGGTTTCTGAGGTACAGCCCAGCCAAAGCGGCAAGCGATCCTCCCAGCGTCTTCAGAACCCTGGCCCTCAATCATTGGTCCACGGCTCCGCGTAGACCCGTCCCCAAACTAACTCCGCCCCATTCTGAACGTTAGCCCCGCCTCCTCTCTTGAATACTAGTCTTCGGTTCCACACCCTCCAGGTGTCTCTAAGCCACGTCCCCGGTCCGAAGCCCACCCTCAATCTTCCGCACCGTCCCCTGCTTACCTCTGCTCTTTCTCTCATCACAGATGTTGGTCTTGAGCCTAGGTCTTTCCCTAGTCCATCTTTCAATCGTTAGTGTCGTCCTGACCCACATATTTCTCAGCCCAATTCTTCGTTCTTAACGGGGCTCTCTTGTCACAGAAGTCCAATCCTGAACTTCAGCTAGGCCAAGCTCTCAGTCCAACCGTAAACCCGTCTGTTTCACCCTAGTACCCTGATTCTGCCTCATGCTTGCCCAGCCTCCCTCCCAGCTCTATCTAGACTTGGTGGTCTTCCCAACCCAGTTCTGACCTTTAGCCACGTTCTTCATTAGGGACCTCCCTGCTTCTCTCAGGCTCCTCTTTATCCCACCTTTAACCCTAGCACCTCCCCTTTCTTCTTTCTGGCCAAAACCTTAGCTCGGCCGCTCAGGGCCAGCCCTCATTCCCATCCCGTTCCTCTCCAGCTCTTAGTCCGACCCCCCGGCCTTAGCCCCGCCCCCGCCCCACCCAAGTCCTTCCCTTAGCCCCTCCCCAGTTCACGCTCAACCCTACGCTTTGGCTTTCCTCCCCGCCTCCCCTCAAACCCTTCGAAATCTAGTTTGGGCTTCAAGCCTACCCTAACCTCTGTAACCGCACTCAGTCCGCGAGATCGACCTCTGCAGCCCTCCTGGTCACCCTCTGGGTTGCCCTAGATCCTTCTGGCTCAGGCAGGAGCTCTCACGGTCTCCACCGTTGGCTCAAAACTCTTGGATGAGGTCGTGGTGTTGGCCTAGGTCCGGGGCCAGCAGGGGCAACCGCCCCCCAGCGTTTCTTCCTAGGCCAGGTGGGAGACCAGAGACTCTACCCAATAAAGCGCTTTATAAACTTGACTTGTCGGGTGGGCGGGCGTTACCATGGCTGCATTCATTCATGGTAACCTACTACACACACCTCTCAGACCGTATACATCACTGCACATGCTATTCACACACTGTTGTTAAGTACCGTCAGTCGATTCCAACTCATAATGACCCTGAATAGGGTTTCTGAGGAGTGGTTGGTGAGCTTGCACGTGAAAAACCTACTTACCACAGACTAATACAAATACATATATATGCGCTGCAGGTTTGCTCTGGACAGCAAGGTACCAAAAAGCAAGGTCGGAGGTTCAAACTCACCAACCGCTCCTCAGAAACCCTATATAGACAGGGTCGCTATGAGTTGGAACCGACTCAATGACTCTTAACACACAACATAGACTCATACCCCCGATCCCTACACATCCCACAGCACAAACACCCCACTCCATTATTGTGGTACAAAGTTCACATACACACATTATTAACAGGCTCGGTGCAAAGCAAAAGAAGTTCTGGTGGTACAGTGAGCTAAGTACTGAGCTATTTACCACCAAGACTTCGTGTGATTCAAACCCACCAGCCACCACGTGGGGAAAAAATGAGGCAAACTGCTCCCTGTAAAGTCTTAGAAACCCTAGGAAACAGTTCCTCTTAGTCCTGTAGGGTCACCATGAGTGGGAATAAACTGATGGCAGTAGTGGATGCAAGGCAATCTAGTAAGGAAACAGATGAAAAAGAATAATTACAGAAGAATGGGAAAATCTTAGAACAGCATCTTTAGCATTCCTCAAATTACACCCCTGCATTTTTCTTGGCAGAAAACTTCAGTCAGGTTATGCCTCAAAGCAAAGCGAGGAGAAAGGATGGTAGTTAATTTGCGCTTTTTTCAGGGTCATCAAGGGCCCCTCCTGCTATTCCATCTATGCCTGTACTTTCCTCCAGAGGAGGAGCCCAGCTCCCCCTACTCAGCATAGCTGTAGGGAGGTCCAGCACAAGCAGAGGAGAAAAAGTTAGGAGCAAGTTTGGGAATGGGCAATGTATTTGTAAGTGGAGGGAAAAAAATTCTTTTTGAGTGGAACCTGACTCATAGTGAACCTATCGGACTGAGTAGAACTGCCCCATCTGCTCTGCAAGGAATCCTGGTGTGGCACTGTAGGTTAATGCACTGAACTGCAAAGTTGGTTTGAATTGCAAGGTCAGCGGTTCAAGCTCACCAGAATGCTCCTCGGAAACCCTATACAGGGTCACTATGGGTCGTAAACGACTGAACAGCACTTAACAATAACAATCTTCACAGGATCACACTGTCACATCTTTCTCCTGTAGAGTGGCTGGTGGATTCAATCCACTGACCTTTCAGTTAGCAGGTGAATGCTTAACCACTATGCCAGCTGGGCTTTTTAAGTGGAGAAAAGGTATATAGAAAAGCCAACCCTTCCAGGATAGAGATGCTAGGTGAAAATAGAGTCAGGGACGGGATGAACAGAGCACTCACTGACTGGGAGCTGGGATCTATGTTCTAGGCTTGGCTCTCCATGACCTTCCAAGATGACGCCAGGCTCTGGATCAGATGTCAGTAGTCACTTTTCCCCCAAATGGTTATTGTATTAGAGTTCTGAACTCTCATTCTTTATTAGTACTTTATCTTATTTCATTTACACAACCCCATTAATTCATTACTAACAGCCCCATTTTACAGATGAGGAAACTGAGGTACAGAAGATAATTATTTGCCTAAGTTCCTATATTAATAAGGGTGGGCATAAAGATTAAAATATAGGTCCTCCTGACTCAAAGCACATCTTCTGAATAAAGAACTAAGCTCCCACCCTCCCTAAGCCTTCTGGTCAATCCAAAAAGCATCCAAAACTCATTAGCTTCTCAGTGAATTCAGAGAAATATTTTTCAGAATGCAGAAAGAGGGTTAAAAAGAAAGGGAGGGGGATTCCAATGGTAGAAATTTGGGTATATAATTAAAGCATCAACTATGTGGGAGGAAGGACCAGAGGAAAGTTTCCCAGAGCCAGCCATTCAGTTCTCACCCAGTGAGGGTCCCAGAGCCTGATCCCTGAGCTCCCAGTCTGTCTGAGTCCTCCTATCCAAGGACTAAACATAGAATCCTAGCAAGAAACTCTAGTCTCCCAAATGGCCACATGTACCCATTCCACATTCCTCTTTCCCAACGAAGGACTCCAGTCCCCAAAATGTAGTAACACAGAAATTTTAATGCATAAGGCACATGTGAGCAGATACAATTAGGCATTCTCATGCCCAAAGGATCCAGCAGGCTGAGCAAAACAGCAGGGGTTCCCTCCCCTCGCCCAGCCATCTCTACCTGCTGAATACCCTAGAGAGTCCCTGGAGACAGGTTGGGGCATCCAGTCTTTGGCATGATGGTACTTGGGGACAGGGAGTGAATAGCATGGTCCCAGCTACCCCTTTGAGGATACTGCCATCAAAAGGCAGCTCTTTGGTCTTAAAAAAAAACCAATTAGTGCAAATGTCCAGGGGTCAAGTTCTGAGTGAGTCAGGGTAACACAGTACCCAGGGCTGGGCAGTTTCTAGACAGACCCGTCACCCTTCAAGGGCAACATGTAGACTTCTTCTTGCTGGCAGTTAGGTAGAGATTGCTGTCGTCACTCTTGATGCCTGAAGAAGGGTGGGCAAGATGTGAATCAGGGAATGGAGGGCCCTCTTACTCTCTGAAATCCTCATCTAGACAGGTACTTACGGACAACATCCCCAATGCGCCGGGTCCCTGACTTCTCCAGCTCAGTCAGCACGTTGGCCTCGAAGGTCAGTGCTGCCACCCGGAAGAAAAACTCCCGAACATTCTCACCTGAACACAGGGCACAAATGGGTACTCAGGGGTAGTGTCAGGCCTAGGGACACTGGGCACAACTTAGAGATGAAGTGAGAAAGAAACATCAGCAGGGAAGGAAGCAGCAGAGATGACTTGAAGCTTCCGACTCACCAGTGAGAGATGAGACTGCCCAGTACTCAGCCTTCATCTCTTGAGCCACTTTGAGTGCATCTTTCTCCATCACCACATACTGAGCAGGAGTCTGAAGGAAGGTCAGAGTCAGATGGGGAAGGAGGGTCTCCCTACCAACATGAGCACTCCCCTCACTGGCACACTTACACTCAGATCCTTCTTGGAACCCACGAGGAAGAGAAGCACGCCAGAAGGATCATTCTCCTTGAGTGCATCAGCTAGCCACTGCCTACAACAGAGGGGCAGGGGTAAGTGAGGCTAAGCAGCTCTTCTCTCAACACTAATACGCCAATCACTTCCTCTCTAGTCCTAGTTGCATTCTTCTTCTTCCCTATCACGTCCTGACCACCCCCATTAATATTTCAACAGGTCCACATACTTGGTATGTTCCAAGGAGGTCACATCATTCAGGTTAAAGACAATGATGATGGCTACACGTGTGGAAGAAACAGTATCAGTTGATGAAAAGGCATTAGTGGCTCACTTTCCCAATTCTCCCAGCTGTAGAAGCCAGGTTACCCTGCTTCACCTCGTCTCTTACCTTGAGCTCCTCGGTAGTAGGTGGATGCAATACATTTGAACCTCTCCTGTCCAGCGGTATCCCAGCTGGGAAGGAGAGGTGAAGCACAGGTGTGTGGGGATAGTGATAGGTAGGTGCTGGGAGAAGAGTAGGCTCTAAGGGGGTGGAAGAAGTACTCACAGCTGCAGACTGAAGGGGACGCCCAACACCTCAAATCGTTCCATCTCAAAGTCTACTCCAATTGTGGCCTTATAATTCTTATCAAAGGTGTCTTTGCAGAATCTGAGGGGAACCAGATGCTCTGACCCTTAGCCCAGCCCACCTGGCTTGGTTTAGCCCCACCTTGCCTAGCCCAGCCCAGTCTAGCACCCCTTACCTATTAATGAGGCAAGTTTTCCCCACAGACAGGTCCCCGACCACAATGACCTTGGAGATCTTAAATCTGCTGGGTACAAGAATGGGCAGGGGGAGTAGGTACCAGTCCCTTCACCGTAGGAAGTTCCAATGCCCCCTACAAGGTTCAGAAAGGTAGCTGCACCCCAGGTTGAGGTTACTGTAGACACCAGGCCTCCCAAGCAGCTGCTTAACAGAGAAATTTGGGGAGAAAGGATGTTTTGTGCTTTAGCATCAGTGACATCAATGTAAATTCCAGCTCTCATACTTTGAACGTGTTACTTGGCCTCTCTGAACCTCACTTTCAACACTACTAAATGAAGATATAAGATATACTTTACTATATAGGGTCGCTATGGGTCAGAACCAACTCAATGGCACTTAACAACAACAACAACAACTAGGATGTTGTAAAGTTGTTAAGTGGATTCCAACTAGTGGGAACCCCATGTGTATCAGAGTAGACCTGTAGGGTTTTCAATGGCTGAATTTTTGGAAGTAGATAGCCAGGCAACTTTGGGTGGATTTGAACTTCCAATCTTTAGGTTAACAGCCAAGTATGGTAACAGTTTGCATCACTCAGGGACTTCTAAAATGAGAACTGTCCTATATTCTACAACACATTTTAACCACATCACATTTTAACATCTCTGTTAAATGTATCTTAAAGTGATGGTGTTTTCCAATTTATAAAATAGACCCAACACACTGTCTGGTACACAGTAAATGCTCATTTAATGATAGCAACCATTACTCCCTTCACAATATACTCCCTCCACCACAATAGAACTCATCCCCATTGGCATAACTCTCTGCTCTGGGACTAAGGGATGGTGTATGGGTACCCTATGTTGGGCAGCTTCTCTTTGTCAGGCATCTGCCACCTTCCTACCTCTTCGCATCTCACAGGATTCTCACAACAACGCTATTGGGAAGAAGGGGGAGAACACAGGAGCTGTGTTATGGCAGGGGCTGAAATGGAGTCCCAGGGGTGGTTATGTATCCTTGCTGTGATTAAAGGGTTTCTTGGGATTCCCATTCTTTGTTATGGGTATTCCCAACTCACCCCACGGTGCCTGTCCGGTGCTCCTGGCAGGCGCTGGTGACCTTGGGTTGGAAGTCTTTGTGCACATGCAAAGCGGCCTCCTTCCTCAGGCACTGAGCGAGAAGGGTGGACAGAGAATGAGACTCACCCACTCCTCGCCCTAATCCTGTTGCCAAACAGCCCCGGGAGACCACCCAGAAGCATCAGGCCTACCGCGGCAGCAGGGCTAACCAAGCCTGTCTGGTGCCGCCTTTTCCCCGCCCACTCCCAGCCGCAAACAGAGGCCCGACGTGGCCCTGGCGCCTACCTGGGGCAGCTCCGACAGAACGCGGTCCCTCCTCACTGGCGCCAAGATGTTCATCGTGTCTGCGGCCTTGCGGGGTGCTCTTAGAAGGCGCGGAGGCCTGATCCGCTCTGGCGACCCGGGCCCGTGTCGACCCAACAATTACCCGCGGCCGGGGTGTCCCGACTACAACTCGAGGCCACTGGTTGCCTACGGGAGCCCGCGGCACTGGCGACGCTACGACCACCGCTGGCCACGGGGATGAGACACTCACCCGAGGCCGAGGCGAGCCCACAATCACCCGGGACCGGGATGTTCCGAAGACGACTCGGGGGCGGGGAGACCCTTCAGCCACAAAACGGGGGCGGGTAATCCCGTCTGGTATAGCCCGGGACTCGGCAGATCCTACAATAACGCGGGGCCGGATAGACCCTACAATAATCCGGGGCCGCGGAGACCCGACGACAACTCGGGATTGAGGTGGCCCTACCATAACCAGGCGACCCCAAGGCGCGGAGCAGCCCAGCCCCACGGGGTCAGTGTAGGCAAAGATGGGCAGTAAAGGCACGAGGGGCCGCTAAGATGCTGGGACCAGGGGCCAGGCCGCTGCACGGCTTCGCATCCCACTCAACTGGCCCTTAGCGGGTGCTGTAACTTGATCCCCGGAAATTCCTGGAGAAGGGCTGCCCCCTCCGCCCCTCTCTCTGCAGCCCGGGCCCTCGGAGCCCGCCCCGGCCTTCCCCCCCTTGTTTTCCCTGAGCTGCCAGAACTCAGGTTTCTCTGTCAGATGCCTTTGATCCAGAGCACCCAGGCCGTCCTTCCCTGTACTCCTTTGCTGTGCTGTGCTTCTGGGACCCTTACCCAGTCGAATTGGTGAGGGGAGTCAGTGGTTACTGCGCAGCATCTGACAAGGCCAGGAACCGGAGGGGAGGGGAAAGGGGGAGAGAAGAGGCCCAAGGAGAGGCGGTGCTTTCCTCATCGATTCCAGGCCCAGGAGGTGACTCATAAGACTCTGCCCCCGCTCGCCCTTCTGCCCAGGTTGGGGGTGGCGGGGTGGGGGGGTGCAGAGGGAGTTGGGGAAGCGCATAAAGGGGGTGTCAGGGTGAGAACGGGATGCTCACAGATGACAAAGACTTCTGAATTCTTCCCCGAGATTGCTGTGTAATTTGGGGATGCCGAAAACCAAGCTGCCCCATTCTAGGGAGGATAAAAAAGGTCCAAATGGACCTGGAACTCTGCCTTTTGGGGAAGTCACTCTGAGTCGTGAGGATCCCTCCTTTAGTATAGGTGTTCTGTTGTTGTTAAGGACCCATAGCGATCCTGTACAGGGTTTCCAAGGCTGTAAATCTTTACGGGAGCAGAAAGCCTCATCTTTCTCCCACGGAGCAACTGGTAGTTTCGAACTGCTGACCTTGCGGTTCGCAGCCCGATTGGTAACCACTACGCTACTGGCCCCTTTGACATCTCCCCCCCATCTCAAGGACAACTTCTTTTTGCAAAATCCTATTGCATTTTGGACAAAGACCTTCTGCTTGACTGGACTTTTACTGCCAACAAGTCCCGGCACAATTGATAAACCATGTCACTTCTCGGCATTTCAGTTTCCACAGGTGTTGTCTTCAAAACTCTGTTCTAACATTCTAGAATTTTGCCTCATTCTCCACGAGTCAACCTAACTGTAATCTTTGCGATGGCAAAGTTGTCTCTTGGCACTGCAGGCCATCTTCCTTGAGACTGGAAGTTGCTCAAAATGGGAAGCTCCGGAGACCAGACTACACCATCCGCTAGCGAGAGCAAATAAACACGTGTCCTTAAGAAAACTACAACTCCCAAAAAGCCCTATTGCCTTACAGGAGGAGCAGAGAAATTAAACCTAACTACCATTCCCGGCGGGCGCTCTGCTACAAATTATCCAATCCGTTTTGAGTGAAAAGCATCGCGAGTCTTCTGCGAGAACTGGTTCTATAAGCCCGTGAGAACGGGTGTTGCAGACCCTTTTTACGAAGATGGCGCCGAAGGCGAAGAAGGAAGGTGTGTGTTGGGGCTCGGGGGCCGCTCTTAGTTATAGAATCCCCTCAGAGCGGACGAATTAAGAGGACAGCTAGTGAGTGGGCTAATCTCGGGGACTTAGCTCCGCAGCCACTGACCACATTTGGACCACGCTGCTGCGTATGCGGGCCGTGTGAGTTCAACCGCATGGGCTGGGCTCCAGTGAAGCAATCCTAGACGCTACCATCCTCTGGGGAGAGCCAGTCGGAAACATAGCTCTTTTGTCACCAAAGCGGAAAGGAATCTGTGCCCTCAGTTTTTTCTCTTTTTTTTTTTTTGGTTAAACGACATAATGTAGCCCCCCGGGTGGTATGTTTGTGTAAAGCTAGTAAACTTTAAGGCACGTATCAAGCGCTCGGTCAATGCTACTTCCATTTTTCTAAATTGTATCCCGGGATTACACCAAGTTGATCTTTTTCGCCCCTAGTGTCGTGCGTATGATGGAAAAATCTTAACCTTCTGAGACTTGTGATGTCTTCAAAGGAACCACTGATGCACGTGTGGGCCAGGAGCGCCCGCCACAGGTGTTGAAAGCAGAATTAATGGCTGTCTGAGTCTTGGGATCTCATTTTCTTTCCTTCTCTCTCAGCCCCTGCCCCTCCCAAAGCTGAAGCCAAAGCAAAGGCGTTGAAGGCCAAGAAGGCAGTGCTGAAAGGCGTCCACAGCCACAAAAAAAAGAAAATCCGCACGTCACCCACCTTCCGGCGGCCCAAGACTCTCAGGCTCCGGAGGCAGCCCAAATATCCTCGGAAGAGCGCCCCCAGGAGAAACAAGTCAGTATTACCCCAGTATTCTTGGAGAAAGTATCCTCCATTGGTAATTTGGAAGTAACATTTGGCCTGCATAAACATGGCTCTCAAAAACATGTTAGTAACCAGTGGCATCCCTAATGAGAGTGAACCTTATGTGAATATTCTAAGTCAACTCGGGGTCACTGTCAAAATTTTGTTAGGATAATTATTTTTATATGTGATCAGGGCTTTAAATTAATTGAAAGTCTACTTTCTTGGGAGAATAAAGTAGGGCTTAGATAGTTGATATCTTGTTTGTTGGGGCTTTTGCTGTTGTGAATTTTAGAGAACAAAGATGTGGGTTAATTCTAGATTGACAAGTGGTGGTTTGCCACAATGTGTAGAAAGCTTTTTTACATAGCTTAAGGAATAGTCGAGTGGGTGGAGATGAACAAGAGGTTGGAGTTCTTGTGTGTTTTGTTAGGGTACTGCAAATAACTGGTTTTGTGGACCAGGGTAGCAGTTGCCAGTGGGTTTCTGTTCACAAAGCTTACAAAGGGAAGTGGGTATGTACATAGAAGAAGGTTGGCCCTACCTCCTTAGCACACCCATTTTTACCTAGAATTTAGTGTAGTGAGAGTTTTATGAGCTGACCTCGACCTTCCAGACAGGAAGTAATGTCTAGGTAAACAGAACTTGGCTTGTCTGAATTTCAGGAAGGAAGCACATGCTAGGTGTGCTCAAATTGCTGTAAATAAAATGTTGCTGTCAAGAATTGGTGGCCTTTAAGCATAGAACCAGTTTTCAGCAACTGAAGATTGCAGAAATGGGCTCAGAATAAAGTACCAACATTCTGTGGAACCCTTGCCTGGGTTTCTTAGTCTAGCCTTGTGCTTTTGGGGTAAGTTGGTTAATATTTCAAGCCTAAACTTTCTTTCACTGTTCTCCTCAAGAATGTTAGATAAAAGATGTGAAACGGTTTGGAACTCAAAAAGTCCCTGGGTTTCATGGTGCAAATGATGACCCATTCAGCGACCAAAGTCTGACAAAAATGATTGTTCCCTTGTTGTCTGATGCACTGGGTTCTTTGGTTTGGGGCACTAAAAGGGAACACCCTTTCTTACCCTGCTGGGCTCTGGCCAGGTGACTTGCCTTTTGTCTCCCCTAGGCTTGACCACTATGCCATCATCAAGTTCCCTCTGACTACTGAATCAGCCATGAAGAAGATTGAAGATAATAATACGCTTGTGTTCATTGTGGATGTCAAGGCCAACAAGCACCAGATCAAACAGGCTGTGAAGAAGCTCTATGACATTGACGTAGCCAAGGTCAACACCTTAATCAGGTGAGTGGGGTCCCATGGAATCAGGAGAGGGCTGGGCCATAAAAGTCAGAAATCCTGAGTGACAGGAGGTTTCTTGATATTACTGCTGACATCAGCAGTGGGCTTGTAAAACTGGAGAAAGGGGCAGCTCCAGCTGTAAATAAATTACTTTGTATTAATGGTGTATAAGGAGACAGACATTGGTTGTCCCGCTTCTAAAATTTGCTTCGTGGGGTTGGTGCTTATTTTCTTGATCTCTGCATCTGTAGGCAGCAGTAACAACATTTGCTGGGCATACAAAATTGCCCGCTTGAAAATTAGCTTACTATGCTTCGTCATGCATTTAACTGACTGACTCCTGGTGTGTGTGACACTATGGGCATGGAACTGCAAGGTTCAAACTCTCCAGCTGTGATGGCTGGAACTGCAGTTGTCTTTTACTGCTGACAGGCCGGACTTTCTGTACCCCTGATCTAGAGTAAGACAGTTTGTGTCAAAATAGGTTTGGCTCTTAAAATGTCCTGTGCTGTTTCTCATAAAAGATAATTGGGAATTAGCTTAACTTGTAGCTCTGCGCAAATGATGGAAAAATCACTATTTGGAAAAGAATGACAAGAACAAAGGAACCACTGATGCGCCCAAACCTGGGTAGGGGAGGAAGTGGGTGGAGGCAATAAGAACATCAGGACTAAGGCTTCCTTCACCCCAGGCCCGATGGAGAAAAGAAGGCATATGTTCGACTGGCTCCTGACTATGATGCTTTGGATGTTGCCAACAAAGTAAGCTTCCTCTTCTATAAACTCCTAACACCTAACTTCTGGGTGAAAATAATGCCTTTGTTAGTGACCAAAACCTGACATTTGGAGATGAGCCTTAACTGGCTGTACCCTAACGGGCCTTACCCTCATTTTCTCTCATTTTATAACCATAACATTTCCAGCTTAGTTTTGACATTTCAGCTTAGTAACAGTGCTCCCTTTTGTTTTTCAGATTGGGATCATCTAAACGGAGTTCAGCTGGCTAATTCTAAATATAAATTTTTTCAATACATATGTTCTTGTCTCTGTTTCTGATTGGGCTGGGAAGAAATCCTGCTATGGCACACACATGCTACTGGGACAAAACACTTTATTTTGTCCCTGTTGGAGCAGTCCACCCTATCACCCCGCCGTATTTGTTGTGAGCCCTGGTGGTAGGAGCTTAAGTACTAGAGAGATTTGAGGCCTTACAAAGAACTGATTTGTTTATCCCTAGAAGTATCTGTTTATGAAGGCAATAATCAGAGTTTGGGATGGAGAGAATAATTTTTCAAAGTTTTCATTTAGCATCTGTTTCAAGGCAGTGTAGTATATGGGTTGGTTGGCTTTCAGGTAGCAACCTGTCCCCACACCCGTCAACCATGTCCAACCGGTCTGTCTGCTGCTCTTTACTCCTTGCCCAAGAAAAGGACAAGGACTTCAGAGGAGTGCTTTCATAGTGCTTTCAATAGTGGGTGCAGGTGCCTGAGGTGAGAGAGAGTTTGGCCACAAAGAACACCCCAGGTTTGGGGTAAAGTCTCAGTTAATGAGAGGCGGTTCTCCTTTGCTGTGCTTTTTTTTGAGTCTCAGCCCTTGTGTCTCACTCAGTCAAGAATTTGTCTTTGTTCTTCTGGCTAGGGACCCGCTCAGGGCAGAAGTCAGAGCGGAGGAGGCGGGAGAAGTAGATGAGGATCATCATATCCAGCATGAGCAGGATGCCCAGTAGAAAAGTGCCCAGGTTCCTCTGGCCGGCATAATGCAGGAAGAAATGGGTGAGGTAGGCCTGTGGGGCCAGGCGGAAGAGAAAGTACATGACCAAGTTGACATACTTGTTGACCCGGTACAGGAGGAGATCCTGGGTATTGGTGATCTTCATCATCATGCGCATCGTAAGGAAGATGTTGCTGACCTCTACCAGTAGTGTTAGGACACCCCCACCAACAAATCTGCTCCAAAAGATTCCTGAAAAGAAGGCACCCATGGCCTGAAAGGCAAGAGAGAACAGGAGTCATGGAGCCCAGATGCCAAACCAGGACCTTTTTTCATTCACCATGATTAAATCTTCCATCTCTGCTGACAACAGGGTCAGGCTTTGGGTTAATTTCCAGGCTATTTAAGGAGGTAGGGTTGTTCTAGTATGGTACTGTAGGATCATCACTGAACTGCTAACCAACCACCAAGTTAGTGGCTCAACCTATCAATCAGCTCCTTGAAAACTACCTGGATCATATGAGTTAGAATCGACTTGAGGGCACTTAAATGTGGGACCAGGAGTCCTGGTATGGAACTGTAGGGGGTAAATCAATGAAATGGAGGAGCCATTCCTTGGAAACTATACAGAGTCACTGTAAGAGCCAATGGCATTTAATGTGGGGCACAACGACAGTGCCAACCCTCAGCCAGCATGAAGAATGATGTGGGGACCCGGGTTAAGACAAGATGGCCTTCTCCCAGGTTTAGATGACTGAGACCGAGTTGTTAGTACCAGGCCTATGCTTCTCACCATGACATGATGGACAAGGTATTCCCAAGAAGCTCTAGCCTGACGGCTCACCACAATGTCCACCGTATCGTGGATAAAATAACCTAGTGGAAGGACGGAGAAGAGAGTCATAAAAAGCTAAAACTTTTCTACAAACTAAAGGCTTCTTGGGAAAGACCTACCTGCAGAGAAACAAACTAGCAGATAGCCAGAAAGCGACCATGCAGTCTCAATCTCCACCAGCAGATCGGGTGTTTGCCATAAACTGGAAAGGAGGGAAGAAAGGACCCTCAAGTTCCCAATTATTCTTGCCAGCCCTAGGGGAGTCTGGACCGGCGTCTCGCGCTATTGGCTGCCTGGGGAACGAGGAGGGGCTTGGCCGAAACCCAGGTGCCTCCGGTTTCCCAGGTGAGATTCCCCCCTCCCCTGGGGCTGCTGGCGCTCCAGGTTAGGATTCCAAAATAGGGAATCAGGTGAGACTGCAGGGCCTCAGCCCGCCCGTGAGTGACGAAAGAAGTAAACTAGTAGTCGGGTCCAGCTTGCCTTGCAGGGATCCCCTAGCCACCTTCACTCCCCCAGTCATTTACTCACCACAGGAGCGCCCAGACCCCTGAAACTATGGAGTGGGCGAAAGAGACGAGCAGATTGTGCCAGCGCCAGGTGCGCAGAGGGTCGGCACGCACGTGCGCCGGCAGGGGCAGGCGACAGAGCGCGCGCCGCAGCGCCCGGAAGGTCAGCGTGGCGCCGAGGAGCAAAGGCAAGGCGGGGTGCAGCAGGGGGGGCATGCTGGCCCTCCCTGCTGTTTGTCTATCGGCCCTCTAGGCGATCGCCTTCGGGCTGTTCGGGGTAATGGACTCCCTCGAAGGCCAGTTCGTTACAGACACCTCTCTAGCCGGCGCCGGCCCTCCCGCCGGTAGCCAGCCTCGCACAGTTTTCACAGAGCCCTCTAGGCCCCTTCGCTCCTCCCGGTCCCTCCCCGCGCAGCCTCTGCCCCCGCCCCCAGCCGCCTGCGCCCCGCCCGTCCGTCCGCCCGCCCGGTTTCTCGGGCGCCAGTGCCGCGCGGAGGGCGCGAGCCCCATTTCCCTCGGGCCTCTTGGCCCAGCTTGGCCCCGAAAGCTTCGGGAGGGGAGGGCCTATCCCGAAGGTGCCTCCCGACTGTCGACGGAGTCCTTGCCTGCTCTCGCTCGCTTGGCCTCATTAACCTGCGCACCCACTTTACCCGAGGCCACTGACTTCCACGCCCAGGGAGGGACTGAGAGAACTCTCTCTCCGCCTTCAACTCCTTTCTAAGTAGAACTGGGCGGGACCTGTCACTACCCACTTCCCCTAAGACTTGGTTGCTCCTGGGGAGGGGTCGGAACTCTGCCTGGGACAATAACCACACAGACCATGTACCTGCATTGGACCACTTAACTTCTTCAGTCCAGAGATGGATATGCTTACCTGCCCCTACTGTTATCCCCCTCGCCCCGCCGTACCAAGTAGGTGCTTAGGAACTATTGAGTAACCCACTCGTCACCTCCCCTCTTCCCAGCTGCTCTTGGGCTTCTGGCGCTGAGCGGCTGTCACAATCCTCCCTCTAACAGTCCCAGCCCTCTTCCGGCTCCCTGGAAGCTGGGGCGGGGATGATAGATGATTTGCTCAGGCTGCTGGGGTGACCCTCACTCTCCACATCAGTGGCCTGAAGCAGTTGCGACTTGCGGGCACTAGGTGTCGGCCTGTCCTCATTGTGGCGAGGGCCTCCCGCCTCCAATGAGCGTTGCAATTGCTTTTGGGGAAAGTTATCCAGACTTAGAGCAAAGTGAAGAGCAGCTGAGAGCGGGAAATGAAGGGAGCAGTGCTGGAGGGGGGTGGGGGGCGGGGTTAGCCCGAGGGCGCCAGAGATTATACCGTTGGAAGTTTGTTCTGTCTCTCCTGATGGCTCCAATGTTACACATTAACCACCCTTGTGGATCTCCTGGGTGAACTAAGGCCCGATTTCTAGGTGACAACATGAGTGTCCTGGGTGAGCGGCTTTTCGTTTTTGTATTCCGTTTTGTTTACAGGGCAGCTTAGTCTGTCAGCCAACAACGGCCTGAGCCAGCAACCTAGGGTCCTCTCATGTGGGTGGTTTGGGTTTTGAGGGTCAGAGACAAGAGGATAAAAACCTCTTTGCTCAAAATTCCTCACCCACTCAGAAATAGACGCTAACCTTTAGCTAATCACCATTCTCCTCCCTATTACTGAGATTTTATGGAGTTTCCTCAGCAGGAGGTGCCAGGAAGAACCTGGAATTAAACTCACTTCCCGTCAAGACCCTAGACTAGCTAGCACCCCCTGTCTCTGAGCTAAACCTTGAACCCATCCCAGCCAAACGGAAGTCTTCCGTCTCCTCCCCAGGAAGTTGAACACTGAGGGTAGAGAACCTTATTGCAGCGTTGTGTGGAGTGATCAGCTGAAGGATGCTGACGAGTACAGTGCTCACTACTCGAGAGAAACTGTAAACCGAGTTACATCCTCCCCAGGTGAATCAACCTGCACAGCTCGGGATTTCCCCGGTCCCTCCCTAGGCAAACACGAAACTAACCCTGTTGCCTGACCCGCAAACCGAGACTCTCGGTTCAGTTTTGGTTTAATGTTTATCGTTTCCGTGCCAGTGAAATTCCACTCTCTTCTTCCAAAATAACGTTACTGGTGAGCAGTGAGGGGTCTGCCCTAGTTTCCCACTTCCACCTAGTCTGCGGAGGGGCAATGCTATTCCGGTTTGTCTAGCCTCTGCAAGGGAAGACTGGATCCCGCCAACAGTGTGACACGAAGTAGCATATCGCCCCATTCCCTGGACCATACGAGGAGTGGGTGCGAGAGACAGAAGCGCTCACGTGCCAGGGTTGGCTGGACAGAGCAAATCTGTGGATTCACGTTGGGCTAAACTAAGGCTGTAGCTCCACTTGCTCCTCCCCACAAATAGCTCACTGGGTTGTGGGAGTCGGGAAAGCAGGCGGATCCGCGCATGCGCCATGTCCTGATGTGGAGGGGTTCCGGAAATTTGACTCCAAGAGATGGAGAAGTACGAGCGGATTCGAGTGGTGGGAAGAGGTGCATTCGGGTGAGCCAGGGCTCTAGGGGATGAAAGTGTTCGGGAAGAGGGAAAAGAAACCCCAGCTCTAGCCTTGCAATAAGCCCCACCCAGGGCACGAAAGCCCATTCTAGAATGCTCCGCCCAGACTTCCGGTCTCGATGTAGTGAGAAGCTCTGCCCCACCCCCCACCCCCCCTCGCGTGGATACACCCTCTGAGAAGCCTTTTCGTCTTGGCAGAGTGCTTTTCTTGACTCACTCATTCAATATTGAGCACTGACTGTATAAAACCAAACCCTCTGTTATCAGTCGACTCCGACTCATACCAACCTTATATAGGGTTTCCGGGGCTGTTAGTCTTTACAGGAGCAAACAGCCTCATCTATTATTATCTGGAGTGGCTGGTGGGTTTTAACTGCTGATCTAGTTAGCGTTCAGGTGGTTATCATGCAGCACCGGTGACCAGGGCTCATTCATTCTACGTATTGTTAAGTACCATCTAGTTGATTCCATTCATAGCGACCCAATATAGGGTTTCGAGGAGCGGCTGGTGAGTTTTGAGTTCGCTGGTCTTGCAAAAAGGCTTCAAAAAGTTTGTGGAAAAATGGAATTGAAAGATAATGGAATTTTTCAACAAATTTTTTTGAATCCTCTTCATGTCAGGTACTGGGACTAGATGTATATATAGTTTATTACAAAAAGATGCATGGTCTTCCTTGGTAGAGCTTACAGACGACAGGATCAAATCCAGGTGTGGCGCTGTAGGACAAGTACTAGACTGTTAACTACAAGGTCGGCAGTACAAACCCACCAGCTGTTTCTTAGAAACCCTATACAGGGTCGCTAATGAGTCGGAAATGACAGTACTTAACCACAGCATACAATAAACAAGAAATTGTTGAAGAAGCGAGGAGGAAAATTATTAACAGGATGCAAAGAAGGTACATCAAAGAGAGTATATGTTTGTGGGTCAAGGAAGGCTTTTCCTAGCAATGAGGTTTAAAGCCAAGACTTGAGGAATGAACATCGGTAGTAGGAAAGTGGAGGCCTTTTCAGACAGGAAACCATGTATATGAAGATCCTAAGGAGGGAAAAAATTCAGAGCCTTCAAGGAACTGAGAAAAAGACTAGTGTAGTTGGGTTATAGTAGGCAGGATAGAGGATGGTATAAAATAAGATGGTCAGAGTTGACAAGGACCAGACCATGGCTTTGTGGGATGAGTTAAAGGGTTGAAGACTTTTATGCAGAGGAATGGTTTGCTCTTACCTGTGTTTTTAAAACAACACTCTGGCTGCTCTGTGGACTTAGGAGAATGACAAGAGTGAAAGGAACCATTTCAGAGGCCAGTGTGCAATTTAGGCAAGAGATGATTTGATAAAAGGTTATTTATAGCAGAGGGTATGGTGGGAAGTGAAGGGGTTTGTTGTATTTTGCTGAGGAAAGGTTCTGGGGTGACTCTTAGGTGTCAAACTTTAATGACTAGTGGATGGTAGTCCCATTTCACTGAGATGAAAAAAAGGAAAGGAAAGTTTTTTGGGGGGCTAGGAATTCATCAATAATTTCATGTTTAATTTGTTGAAATTCAGGATGTTTAGGAGCCACCTATCTGTCAGTTTGTCACACTGTGGTGGCTTGTGTGTTGCTGTGATGCTGGAAGCTATACTTAAAATTTAAGTATTTTAAATATAGTGAACAGGTTTCAGCTGAACTTACAGACTGAGACAGACTAGGAAGAAGGTGGACTACTTCTTACTGTTTGGCTATTGAAAACCTTATGAATAGCAGTGTGACGTTGTCAGATAGCGTGCCAGAAGATGAAAACATCATGAACAGCACCAGAATATTGTCAAATATAGTGCTAGAAGATGAATCCCTCAGGTTGGAAGACACTCAAAATGTGATTGAGAGAGAGCTACCTACTCAAAGTAGAGTTGATCATAATACAAATGGAGTAAAGCTTTCAGGACTCATTTGCTCATGAGTCACAACTCAAAATGAGGTGAAACAACTAAACATCCATTAATAATCAGAACATGGAATGTACAAAATATGAATTTAGGCAAATTGGAAGTTGTCAAAATGAAATGGAACACAATGATCTGAAATTGACTTGTATTGGCCATTTTGAATCTGACAATCATATGGCTTACTATTTTGAGAATGACAAATTGAAGAGGAATGGCAAAACATTCATCATCAAAAAGAACATTTCAAGATGTATCTTTGCTGTCTGTGATAGAATAATATCCAAAAGCCTACAAGGAAGACCAGTTAATACCACCATCTTTTCAGATATATACGAAGAAGCTAGATTATATGAAGAAGAACGTGACATCAGGATTGGAGGGAAGACTCATTAACAACCTATAATATTGCAGATAATACAACCTTGTTTGCTGAAAGTGAAGATGACGTAAAATACTTACTGATGAAGGTCAAAGACCACAACCTTTGGCAGGGGTTGCACCCCAGTGTAAAGTAAAGAAAAATTTTCCTCATCACTGGACCAAAATAAATAGAAAAAAGATTGAAATTGTTAAAGGCTTCATTTTGCTTGGGCCCACTATTAACATGCATGGAAACAGCAGTCAAAAAATCAAGTGAGGTATCTCATTAGGCAAATCTGCTGCATAAGAGCTCTTTAAAGTGTTCAAGGGCAAAGATGTCAATTTGAGGACTAAGGTGTACCTGACCCAATCCATGATAGGTTTGTTGGTTTTTTTGGGTTT